CGGGGGCGCTCGGTACCTTTCACCCCCGCCATGTTCGCGGGCAGCAGAAGGGGGGCGAGCTCCGCTTTTTGGGGCGCCGAGCTGGGCTGCGGTGACTTCCGGCTTCCGCTCCCGGAGACTTGCCCCCAGCCCCGCCCCCAGCTACGCGAACGGGGCCGTTAAAGGGCCAGCGCTCCCCACGCGTGACCGCTCAGCCTCGCTTCTTCCCGCACGAGCCTTTTCACCCCCGCAGCCCGCCCCGGCCAGCGGCGGAGGGAGGGAGACCAGGCCCAGCCGAGCGGCCGAGGAGGCGGTGGCCGGGCGGGCGGAGTTTGTGCCTTAGAGCGGTCAGTGGCACCCCGCGTGGGATGCCCTGGCGTGGCAGGAGGCCTGCAGAGCGGGGCATGGCCTGTTCCCTGTGAGCTGAACTCTCGGGCAGCCGCCCAGGAGAGATTTACATGCGGCCCAGCTCATTGGCAGAGCGCCCATTTGTCACTCCACTGGTGGTGCACATCCACCCATGCCTCAGTGCGCAAACTTTATTCAGCACATGGAGGGAAAAATTGAGGGAACATTGGGCCTGCCAGGGTCCTTCCTGTCTCCATCCAGAGAAGGATGAGGACCCAGCCATACATAGACTTTTTCTCACTGGTGTTTCAATCTGAGCTGCATTGGTGGGAGCAATGTGAATTAAAAAGTTGTGGCTGCTACATGAAGGTTTGCTTCTATTTACTATCCCAATGCAGCAAGTTTCCGCAGAAGCAGCAGTAGAGTCCTACTGGATTTGAGAGTGAGGAAGCTCTAAGTTCAGGAGGCACTTGAAGGAGCAACGTGTTTCATAGAAGGGAATTGATGTGTCTAGGTGTGGCAACATGCCCAAACTCAGGCAGGAGAAGAAGGATGGGTGGTGGGAAGTTACAAGGCACTGACAGGGGTGGGAGGAGATGTCCATACTCTGGAGGGATCAGGATGCCGCTTGAGCTCCGGAGGGGGTAGCTGGGAGAGAAATTGGGATGGGAGCAGGTAGGGGATGCCCAGGCTGGGGCAACAGGGCACCACCAATAGAAACAATACACCTAGCTGTGAGTGCTCTGCTAATCAAATGGATGGCACTGAAATCTCTCCAAAGGCAGCACAAATACTCAGCTTACAGGTAACACTCATGTACAGGCATTTCTCCTTGAACTGTTTAAATGCACGGTGGTACCCATCCCAACCCCCAGGAAAAGCAGATAGATAGCACATGCAGTTCTTGAGGAAAAAGAGCTTTAAGAAAGTTATTTTCTAGGGGCAGTCTTGTAGCATTGCCCCAGCCTTGTCTCATTTAAGGAAACAATCCTCTAGAAAATCAGATGGTTGGAATTTAATAATAAAAGATGTGGTCGATAGCCCACTGATGGTCTGAACCAAACATACCGCAAATCCAGATCAGGGGTTGCCACCTAATTAAAACATGTGTAAGGGGACTGTTACCCCTTACTAAAACTCTGTGGGAGTTTTTTGGTTTGTCAGCTCCCAGTTTCAGAAGGGGAAGGGTTCATGAGACTGACAGACCCCAGAGACAATGGAAAGCAGCCAACACTCCAGCTCAGCCTGATTGACAGGTTGGACAGGCCAGTGAGGAAGGGGAGAGGCCAGGCCCCGTCCTCCCTGTGAGCTGGGATTGTTCTGGCTCTCTCTGAGCAAACAGAAAGCTGAGAGACAGCTCAAGGAATGCAAGCTGTGTGCAGAAGAAGTCCTGCAAAAACAGAGAGCTGCGAGACAGCCCAAGGAGTGCAAGCTGTGTGCAGAAGAAGTCCTGCAAAAGGAACAGAGAGCTGAGAGACAGCCCAAGGAGTGCAAGCTGTGTGCAGAAGAAGTTTTGCAGCTGCAGAGCCAGGTATACACAGCTCAAGGAGTGCTGACCCTGTGTTGAGCAGCAGACTGGCAGTGCTCAGAGAGCCAAAAGGAACAGAGAAGCAACACAAGGAGCTGAAGACTAACCAAGCAGCACAGCCTGCAGCTGGATGTGGTGAGCAACTGGGACCTGCAAAGTGTGGGGAAAGGCTCTGGACTGGGAGAGAGGTCTGGCCACTTAGAGCTTGAAGCTGTGTGGTCACTGCCAGAGCAAGTGTGTCCAGCCTGCAGCCCCCTGCATCACATCCAGGGCTTCTAAGGAAGAGACTGTGAACTGTCCTTACACTCTGCAGACTGCTGTTTTGATGTCCCTGTGCTACAGAGCAGGGCTGTGTGTTCTCATTTAATCACTCATTTTTTTCTTATTCTTTTCTCTTTAATCAGTTGATGTTTAATAAATTGTATTTGCTTTGAACCTTATGAAGTGATCGCTGGGCCAAGAAGGCCTGCAGTGTAAAGAGAGCACCTCGGAGTGGGGACACCCTAACTCCTGCCCCTAGTGACTACAAGGTCGGGGAGTAAGACCCAGGAAACCTGGGCCCAGCCTTGTTGGGGTTTCGAGGGCTCTGTTACTCAGGAGAGTGGAGGGGGAGCCCTCAGGATCAGGGAGGCCATGGGGTAAAGGAAGTGGGAGCGGGGACTCAGATCCTTTCGCTGGTCCATTTCACCGGGGTGGTATAGAAGCCAGGAAAGTTCCCCACAATAGCGGGACCATTCCCCCGCTTACACATGGGTATTGTTTACTTTTCTCTTATAGAAAACCAGCATCAAGATTATTCAACTGTACTGCCGTTTACTACTTACTTAGATTAGTCCTGTTTCGCATCATAGTCACTAACATGGGCCCATTAAATGAGGTTTATCATTTTTAGGGTAGCACAGTAGGAGAAAAGATGATCAACATATAAAAGCAAAAAGCCACACATGTTGGGGCAATTGAAATGCAAAGTTACACGCACCACTGTTCTTGCTTGATATGTGTTTGATAGAAATGGAGACAATATGAAATGTTTCGAATGCTGTAGGAGCTGCAGTGCATTAGCCTGTGAGTATTGTTATGTACCAATGGTAGCAGGTCAGTGAGGAAAAGTTACTTTATATTGGGTTAGATTTTCTTATGTGAATGCATTGGTCTAATTCTTAAGTGAGGTTTGGGTAGTATATATTACATGCCTATATTGCTTGAACTCAATAGAAACTGCACAGGCAAGCAAAACAATGTCTTTCCAGAAACAAATACATAAATATAGTAGTGAGAAAGTCGGTGAGGTAATATCTTTTACTGGGCCATCTTTGGTTGGTGAAAGAGACAAGCTCCAGAGCAACACAGCTTTTCTGCAGATCTGGGAAAGGAATTCATGAGTCAGGTCTACATGACAGACCTAACCAGTGTAACTACATTGCTGGGCGTGAAAACCCCCTATCCCTGAGCCACAGTTATAACCAACCCAATCCACCCCTCTTTCCCCCATGTAGACAGTACTATAGTGGCAGAAAAGCATCTCCCACCAGCATAGTTACCACCTGTCAGATAGGTGAATTAACTAAATTGACAAAAGAGCTTTCTCCCATTATCTAAGAGCATCTTGATCAGAGTGCTACTGTGCCAATGCGGTATTTGGAGAGCTGCCCGGAACAGAGCTAAATACAAGAGTGGAACAGAAAAAGGAGTCAACACATACTGAAGAAGCCTTTTAAGATAAAAGGAGCATTGTTAGGTTAAAGATTGTTGTAATGGTCCATACATCCAGCATCTTTATGTCCATATTTTTTGATGTCTAGCAACATTAAGAATTAGTTCCCAGGCAAGTCTTTTGAAGGGGTTGTGCAGGTTTCCTTTAAGGATGAGAACTGATATTGCACTGTGGGATGGGACTAATAAAGTGAATGTTTCTTTACAAGCACAGAACATACCTGAATTTATTGAATTGGAGATTTTTTAATATATATACAAATGTTTTAGACTACTCACATTTCGAGTATATAGAATATTTACAAAAAATTACAATAATTTTTAGACAAACAGTAAACCTGAACATCAATAAGCTCTGTCACTACAAGAAATGAACAAATTGCAGAGTTAACTAATTTGGAGATAAGTAGGTCCCAAAACTTTCATGCATCCATAAAAACATTAGTTGAAGAAAAAAATGAAAGTTTACATTTGGGTAAGTTTATTTTTTCTGGGTAATATCAAGTTTAATGACAGTTTGTATTTTGAGAAAATTGATGAGTTATCCAGAGCTCTCTGCCATGACAGACTTGATACAAAGCTAATGTAGTTTATCATTTCAAAAATGTACATTACATCAATGAGATCCTTTTATTATATAGGCATAGTTCACACAATATCTACAAACATGAATGAGAAACAAAATAAAACAAACCACAGGAACATGATTCACATTCCAGTTATCTTTTTAAATAAGACAAGCACATACTGGACCAAAACATTTCATAATATATGTTAATAAATAACATCATTTGTTATGGTTATCTTGAACATTTTAAGATCTTGTATATAAAAAAAGAAAAATGAGTGTTAGTATCACATTGTTAGTTAACCATAATAAATAATGGACCAATGCAACAAAAAAGGAGTCTTATACAGAAAGTAATGTCCAATGTAATGCTTGCCTTTGCTGTAAATATTCTGACACTGGAAAATTAAAATGTAAAGTAAATAAACAAATCGATTGTCTTTAAAAATACCAGCTTTCCAAAGATTTTCACATCAGATTAGATCTTTTCCTAAAGAATCAATATGGAAACTTTTCTGCCTGTCTTATGCATATGCTGAACTTTTAAAGCTAAAGCAGATAGATTCCATATACATATTCCATATCATCCATGAAGTGTTGGTAACTTAACCATTATTTCTAGTTACTTTACAAAAGGAGAAATAGCCTTAAACAACATAACTTGCTCTATAACTAGATGAGAAAGGCTTCAACTTCTCTATGTTGCCATTATTGCTTTGGAGCAATGTGATTCAAATATTCAAACTGCCCTGTTGTTACCTCAAAGATCAGACAAATTCTATATGTCTGGATAACTTGCATACTGTGATCTGAAGAGTGAAGTGGTAACCAATTATATTTCTGCTATGACCCCTTGCCCAAATGCTCTGAAAAACTTTTAGATAGCTGGCTGCAATTGATAAATCACGGGGATGCAAAATCTTTCAGACCCTCAAATAGGAAATGTTTTAAATTAGTGTGGGAAGCTTCTGCAGCAACAGCATAATTGACACTGGAATCTTTAAAAAAAAGGGAGGGGGCTATCAGACAGTTCTACTAATGGGTAGAGCCCTCACCAGCAATGCGGTAAATGCTTACCCTTCACATTCTACAACTATGGACTCATCCCGCGCAGTTCACTATTCCCTGAACATTACCTCTTAACATGTGTTTCACGTAAGCTGGTGTAACATCAAATATTTGATCTGCTGTGTGGTGCTCTAAATATTTAACTGCCTGTCTGTAATGTGCAGTACAGTTCTCTACTTAAGGCCCTTTAAGTTGCCATAATGACTTATCCAGTTGCTCAGCTTTGTCTTTGAGAATATCCTATGAGTGATTAGGTACCAAATGATGATAAATTAATATTATTATTAGGCGTCCCTAAACCAGGTCCCCTGAGCCAAACACATTTGGATCTCATCTTGGAAGGTTGGACACGATCTCCAGTTATTACACGCAGTTGCAGTTCTGTGTCTCACTTGACTTCATTGGAAGAAATGGGACATCAAGCATCCCAAGACAAAACCAGTCCCACTGTGGTCTAGAAGGCTTTCGTCCTCTCCCTACTTGACTCTGGAAATATGGGATAAGTTTCCAGAGTGCAAGTGATTTTAGCTACACAGGTCCCCTTAAGAGATATGTGGCTAAAATGCTCCTGTGCTTTCAACAGTGCGATGTACCTATGAGGAAACATCCATTTCATTCTTCGTGGTAAGTGTTAGAGTTACAAGTCATATTGAAAAAAAAAAAAAAAAAAAAAAAAAACCCTTTCAAAATTTCCTGCCAGATTTTAGTTGTCTGTGGGAAAAAAAAAAAATCGCAAAATTGTGACCAGAGACTATACAAGCACAGGTCTGAGAAAATGTTAATACAAAGGCTTTTGACCTTGGTTTTCAAATTCTGACCAGGCATCACTTAACTCCATGAAGATCATCTTTGCATACTGTTCATATGGCTGCCCTGTAGCCTAAAAGGGAACAGAGTAAAGAATCCATCATATATCTACAAGAGCAGAATATGCACAATTGACATTCTAAAAATGATTACACTAAAAGTAGTTAACCAAGAAAAAAGAAGGTCTTCTCAGTTTGCTTTTGCTTCACTAAACCTAACCATGCTTACCGAGGGCTGCTTTCTCTGGCTACAAGCTTAATGAAACTTTGTGGTCCTTCTCAGCTTTTCAGTACAGGAAGGCTCCCAGACTAGCTCTGAGGAGCCCATCTCCAGAGCATAGCACTGTAGTCCCAAGATGGGGGCTAGGAAGGGTTGCTGTTTTTTGTTTTTAAACTTCAGGCTTTCATGAAAGGACACTGGATTGGATGTCACCCTATACACACGGGATATAAAATCCTGGTT